GGCGTTCTCATTTTTGTCAATATTGAATATCGAAGCTGACGAACTTCACACACTTTGGATTGGTCTGTGCCAGTACGCATTGGCAAGTGTGTTATGGCTTCTGTGCTTCCGCATTCTCGACGGCACGATCAAAGAGAACATGGTGCAGGTATGGGCAGAGATCCAATCCCATGGGGGATGTAGCTACATCAGCATCACGCTCAAGATTTTCATGAATGAGAAAAAACCTTGGGATGAGTTTCCAAAGCTAAAAGGCAGGGGATCTCAGGCCAAAAGCCTGGTCGCACCGTTGTTGCGCGTGTGGGCATCGCATCGATCGGATGACGTACTATATGACACAGTTTTGAATCTCCTTGAGACGCTTCTTGGGATAAGTGACTTAGTAGACTCGACGGCAATGGAGATTTTCATGCCTTTAGCCGACTGTGCCGTGCTGGAAACATCAATGAACAAGTTCCTAGGGGTTTACACCCACGCAGGCCTACTCGCAGATCGCGAAGGCCTTTGTCTTTTTTCAGCGGTGCCAGAATTACATTGGGCTTGGCACTGGATGTCGAGGAGCTGTTGGCTCCACCCCCGTAGGGTAGCCTGCTGGTTGGATGAGGATTTTATGAAGCATTGTAAAATCCTCGCTGGGTACGCCACCAGAGGAACTGCAAAACACAAAGTACCGTGCTAGTTCATGCCTCGATACTCGAAGGCCCTTGCTTTAGCACAGGAATTTGTTGCAGAGTGAGCTGGCGCTCGCGTCTCAGGAAAACCAGTTGCAACTACAACAACAAGAGGAGGAGCGTGAGGACGAGGATAGGGAGGAGGCGGAGAGGAGAGGGAGGAGGCGGATAACGAGGAGGCAAGCAGGAGGGAGGATCAGGAGGGAGGATGATCCTCAACTGGTAGAGAGCGTTTCCCTACCTCTGTGCCGTGTCCGTCATTCTCCAGGCTCTTTAAGAGGGCCCCAAGATTGCTCCAAAGAGGGCCCCAAGACGGTCCCAAAGGGGGCCCAGGAAAGCTACCCAGCAAGTGTTTTGAAAGGGCTCCCCCCAAAAAATCCCCGAGGGGCTTCTAAGACGGCTCCAGGAGGCTCTAAGAGGGCCCCAAGACTGCTCCAAGGGGCCCCGAAAAGGGCCCCAAGAAGGCCCCAAGGGGGCCCAGGAACGCTACCCAGCAAGTTTAGCCCCCTTACACCTCCACCTTCCCCTCCTTATCCCCTCTTCCCCCTCGCACCGCCCTCTCTCGCCCTCATTAACACCCTTGTAATCCTCCCCCGCTCCCCCCCCCCCCTCCTTTCATCATACTCCGCCGTTTTCCTCATCACTATTGTTCTTCTTCTTCATCCTCCTCCTTCCCCTTCCTCCCTCCCACGGGGGTGATCGGGCGTGGCTTGGGAGGCGTCCGCCCATTAACCGCCCCTTAGATCCGCCCCTTAGATCCGCCCCTTAGATCCGCCCTTAACTTAACTTAAGCTCTTCCCTTAGATCGCCCCCTTATCTAAAGTCGAACTTAACTTAGAACTTACAACTTATCTTAGATCTTCGGATCTAAGGGGCGGTGATCTCTATGGGAATGTGGCCCGGGAATGGAGTTCTGGGAGGTCGAAGAGCACGAAGTGTGTGACTGTTGGCGAAAAACGATTCCCGGTTCTCCTCCCCGGCACCCGCCCAGACCCCCCTGAGGAGTCATGATGCTCTCTTTTGACCCTAGTATACTAGAAACCTATCAGCAAACGCTGTTAGGTAAAAATGCCCACAAAATTATCCCGGCAAAGCAACCTAACAGCGATGTGTAGGAGCATATCTGGAAGCATTCCCCTTAAGATTCACATGAGAATCCAGTTGTAGAATTCTGCTGTTCTCGCAGTCGCAGTCGCATTCGCGATGAAAGTCGCAGTGGCAACGGCAGTCGCAGTCACAGCCTCAGCCTCAGCCTGCCTCAGCCTCAGCCTCAGCCTGCCTCAGCCTCAGCCTCAGCCTGCTTCAGCCTCAGCCTCAGTCTGCCTTCAGCCTCGGCCTCAGCCTCAGCCTGCCTCAGCCTCAGCCTGCATCAGCCTCAGCCTCAGCCTCAGCCTGCCTCAGCATCAGCCTGCCTCAGCCTCAGCCTCAGCCTGCCTCAGCCTCAGCCTCAGCCTGCTTCAGCCTCAGCCTCAGTCTGCCTTCAGCCTCGGCCTCAGCCTCAGCCTGCCTCAGCCTCAGCCTGCATCAGCCTCAGCCTCAGCCTCAGCCTGCCTCAGCATCAGCCTGCCTCAGCCTCAGCCTCAGCCTGCCTCAGCCTCAGCCTCAGCCTGCTTCAGCCTCAGCCTCAGTCTGCCTTCAGCCTCGGCCTCAGCCTCAGCCTGCCTCAGCCTCAGCCTGCATCAGCCTCAGCCTCAGCCTCAGCCTGCCTCAGCATCAGCCTGCCTCAGCCTCAGCCTCAGCCTGCCTCAGCCTCAGCCTCAGCCTGCTTCAGCCTCAGCCTCAGTCTGCCTTCAGCCTCGGCCTCAGCCTCAGCCTGCCTCAGCCTCAGCCTGCATCAGCCTCAGCCTCAGCCTCAGCCTGCCTCAGCCTGCCTCAGCCTCAGCCTCAGCCTCAGCCTCAGCCTCAGCCTGCTTCAGCCTCGGCCTCAGTCTGCCTTCAGCCTCGGCCTCAGCCTCAGCCTGCCTCAGCCTCAGCCTGCATCAGCCTGAGCCTCAGCCTCAGCCTGCCTCAGCATCAGCCTGCTTCAGCCTCAGCCTCAGCCTCAGCCTGCTTCAGCCTGAGCCTCAGGCCTTCAGCCTCGGCCTCAGCCTCAGCCTGCCTCAGCCTCAGCCTGCCTCAGCCTCAGCCTCAGCCTGCCTCAGCATTCAAAATGTGGCCCGGGAATGGAGTTCTGGGAACTAGAAGAACACGAAGTGGCCTGCAGCTGGCTCCGGGCATTAAAATCATGCCCAGGAATGGAGTTCTGGGAACTCGAAGACCACGAAGCGGCCTACAGTTGGCTCCGGGCATTCAAAATCATGCCCAGGAATGGAGTTTTGGGAACTCGAAGACCACGAAGCAGCCTACAGTTGGCTCCGGGAATTCAAAATGTGGCCCAGGAATGGAGTTCTGGGAACTCGAAGACCACGAAGTGGCCTACAGTTGGCTCCGGGCATTCAAAATGTGGCCCGGGAATGGAGTTCTGGGAAAGCTCAGAGCACGAAGTGGCCTACAGTTGGCTCCGGGCATCCAAAATGTGGCCCGGGAATGAAGTTCAGCGAAGTCAAAGACCACGAAGTGGCCTACAGTTGGCTCCGGGCATCCAAAATGTGGCCCGGGAATGGAATTCTGGGAAGTCGAAGTACACGAAGTGGCCTACAGTTGGCTCCAGGCATTCAGAATGTGGCCCGGGAATGGAGTTCTGGGAGGTCGAAGAGCACGACGTGTGTGACTGTTTGCGAAAAACGCATTCGGACACGAGTTCGGACACAGCTCCCCGGGTCCCGCCCCGACCCCCCTGTGGAGTCATCTGCTGCTCTCTTTTGACACCACTAGAAACCTATCAGCAAAAGCTGTTAGGTAATAATCAAACAATGATCCAAAAATAATCTGGGGACTATTCTTTGAGTATTGTTTGGCCTTTTTTGTATATTTTGGGGGTATTTTTCATTTTTCGTCGAAGATCCCCCTGTTGGGGGACACGCCCGACATAAGAATAGGTGCGCCCACAGTGTCGGTGAATCCAGAAAGGCCCCTGAGTCGAGAGATCGCTGAAGAGCAGGCGCCTGCCCTGGCAGATGACCCCTCAGGTGGAGTTCTGCATCGCGGCGCAGGATTCACAACGATCCTGGCGCTTGCAGCCTCGACCTCGAGCACAACGAGTCCGTCCGTTCCGTCCTTGTCCTCCGACTGCTGCTCCACTCGCTGCCATGCTCCACATGTGGGCTGCATCGCTCGAGCCCTCTGTGCCAGAGCAGTGGCGCAAGGGGGCACGCGCAGGAAAGACGGCGAGCACGTGGGAAGAACATGCAAGGGCACTACGCCACGAACAGGAGCATACTTCCACCTTTTGGGGGTCAGCGGCGAGGGCGAGCGCCAACGTGAAACAGTCGGTGGGCCGCGCCAGGCGGGGGGGACACTAGACAAGCGGAAAAGACGAGGGCGGTCGCGCAGGGGGAACGCGGGAGGAGGCCTCAGGCATAGGGAGTCTTCGCCACGAGGTGTGCGCAGGCGGCCTCAAGCGCCGAAGAGATGCTTCCACGCATGAACACGTCAGACATCCGCGAACGAGATCTGGTACGACTTTCAGGATGTGTCTACTCAGGCCTCCCCTGCGCTAACCGCCTGCGCGAGCCCCACCCCCCCCACTGCCTCTCGAAGGTCTGCTAAGGCACGCCGGGCGCATACGTCCCTCCCCGCGCCACTCCTGAACCTACTCCCCTACTGTTCCTCGCACAATGCATCGGAAGCAATGCCTCCCCTACGCTGGTCCCTCATACTGCTGCACGAGCTGCGCGCTGGCTGATCTGGCAAATATCTCGAGGGAAGCCTGATTCGAACTCGGGCCTCGACGCTGGTTGCACAGTTACGACTGTAGAGCGAAAGCGCCACTCTCTGGACAGCAGGGTGTCGCTCCTCGCCTGCCTGACCCGAGGCGGGGCTCAGGGCGACGCTCAAGGGAAGACTCTGCCCCCTGCTCTTCTGGTGAGGCTCTTGCCTGCGCACAGACAGCTCCCAGGCAGTCCCGGCTGGCCCCACCAGGCCCCTCCGAGTAGTCCCAGCTCCCTCAGCGCCGTGGCGCCGCCTCTGGCGGCACCCTGGGGTCGTCGAGGCCGCCCCCGGCTAGTCGGAGGGCCTCTGCTGGGGCCAGCTGGGACTATTCTGGAACCGTCTGTGCGGCCAGCCGGGACTACCTGCAACCATCTGTGCGCAATCCGAGGCCCTACCATGCTGCTCCTCCTCCTCCTCCTCCTCCTCCTCCTCCTCCTCCTCCTCCTCCTCCTCCTCCTCCTCCTCCAGGCGGGGGAATGCAAATGCTAACGTCCAGGAGGCAGGCGTCCACCCGGGAGC